TTTTTTTTTTTGCTTTGCTGCTCACAGGTGTGTCAAGAACGTGGTTGGAAGGAATACGATGGTACTAAGAGCGGAGACTCCACGTGGTCGGTTCCGGCGGACGATTATTGGAATCTGTGGTGGAAATCGACCGGATTCTCGCTGTCACACTATAAACAGCAAAAAATATGGCAGGTATGTTCGGTATATAATATATATGGTATAATATTAAGTGTGCGTGTAAATTATTTCTTGTATGATGTGTGTGAATGTTATTCGCCGCCAAACATTGTTCGCAGAGATCGTATAAGTTGACCTGATTCCGAGGTAATATATGTGTGTATATATATATGTATATTTGTTTTTAACGCATCGATTGAACGCAGCTGGCTTAGACGTCTCTGCGCCAAAAACTAAACGATGCAGCGACGACGCGGTTTCTGTTCATATACAAAGTATAACTCTGAGTATAATAATTCTAAGTATTCATTGTATAACGATACAATAYACATATTATATATTATGAGAAAAATAAAAATATAAAAATAGGACACATTATATTTACTACTTGACCGTTTAATGAAGTTATGCAATATTATACACAAATATTTAATTTAATTAGATATTAAAACGTGCTCGTTGTCTACCATGAATCAGAYATTTTATATAATAATTTCAATTAATCAATCAAATACAGAAAATGTTATTATTCATACTGCTAAAAAATGTCAGTCACGGAATGTCCAATTTTTCTACATTGCTTGTAATATGCATTAACAGTCCAATTTACATTAATCTTCCTCAACGACAGTTAATTGACATACCTAATATTGTTAAACAACGTGATTGTAGTATTTTGCTGAAATTCTCTACTGTAAACTATTCATAGTTATTGTGACTGTATATAGTGTTTATCATTAATTGTGTAACAACGTCGTTTGTTCAAAAAAAAAAAAAAGAAAGAAAGAAAAGTTTTTTACGTCGTGGTCGCATTTATATTTATATTTAATACCTATGACAGTGTGATATACATTAACACATTGCTATACTGCGACGATAATTTAAAAAAAAATGTTCATCACGTTTACGCTCGTTTTGACGAGAAAAAATTGTTCCCGTTTCTAAAATTCAACTATATAGGTATAGGCTATATAAGTACCTACCTATAGACTATAATTAATTTGTTTTTAGGATACAAATAACACGACTTATATTTAACTCATTAGAGTTTTGAGTTTATTCACAGTAATTTTTTGAAACTAATACATATCTCACTCTATGTACGATGTACATATAAGTTTATCGTTTTGATGCCTTTCATGAGATAGTATGATAAATACAAATTTAATATTAACGAGTTATCGTTGTAATTTTTAAAATTATATTTTCGTATAACTTTACTGTACTGTATAAACTTATTAATGAAATCAAAAATCAAAAWKTATTATTGAAGTAGTGTCACTGGATGCCCCCTTCTATCACGCACATATGCCTTGTAAATAATGTTATAAAATTTACTTATTGTATCAAATGTATACAGATTGTAAATATATTGTTGTTTTTATTAGGTAATAAAAAAATTTTTWWAAATCTTTACTGTAATTAACTTAATTCTAGTATACGATATGCATGTATAGGTAATTTAATTAATTAAAAAAGAATAATTATCTAATATTATATTGTGTTCAACGCACTTTTAATATATACCGTGTAGGTATATTTTTAGTTTTTTTTGTATTTAACTATATTTGAATATTTAAAATATTCGAGTGTACAACAATTTAAAAATGCTTRGTTCTTATGCAACATATTTCCAACACTTAAGATTTCAATTTTACTATAGTCGATTTATATTTACGTATGTAAATATATGTGCATTTATAATTGTGTTTTCACTTGGGGACTGGGGTACAATTAAAGATAACTATTACAATAGATTCGATACGAATACAATTATTATTTTCAACTAAACGCAATACTTGAATGTCAATTACGAATCTGCATAATAGTGTGTGTTTTTGCTTTTACTGTCTATTAGTTCAACAACCATATACCCAGTGGATCAGCATTATGCCGGAAGGACAACTTGTGGCGGTATTTGAAATGCATGAAGAATATATTCGGCACGTCACTGTTCGGGTTCAGGTAATGGGCATTAATAATAGTTAGATCTATTTGGATATATCGAAATGCTTTGTACGAAGTAAAAATATAAACAATAATAATAATAGAAATATTATTTATTTATTTTAAATCTAAGAAAATATAATAATATAATATACAATACCTGATAGCAGGTAGACATAAGAATTGATACAATTACTGTATGCACGCAAGTGTTTTTAGTATTGCATATGAGATATGCCTCGTGTACTAAAAACGAAAATCAAAATAATAATGTTACGTTGTGTTTTCATATGGGGTGATACGATATAAAAACACGAAAATGAGCACAGCGCCGTTTAATCYATAACAGTTTATTATTTACTCCTTATATCACGTAAAAACTAAAAAGCCTATAGTTCCTATTGGGAAGTTATTCTGGTTATATAACTGGCTGCAAGTAGAATGCAATAAGTTTATTTGGCAAACCCTCATTTTATTTTTTTAAGAGACTTATGTTAATGATTTTGTTATTAAATAATTTTTATAATTAACCTGATTATAGAACCATGCGAGAATTAATAGCGAATTTTTCAGCGGTATATTTTCGGCGGTAATTATTAATTCATCTTAGTACTATATGTTTTTGTCATTTGAGTGATAGATTAACATAATAATATAATAGGAATAGTGAATACCATGATATTAAATTAAGTTATTGTATCATTACATAATACAGTAAATAATTGTATTATTTTTTAACATTTTAATCGTGTATAATAATTTACTTAGATTAGAATGATATATGAAATCAGTCATTTTTTTCTGTGCCTAAATGTTAATTACGCTGAAGCTTTGAAAGTATAAAACTTAAAGGGGACTAGAAAAATAAATTTAAGTAATATTACTGTTATAATATACTTTTTAGAAGTTAAAAATAATTTGCAACGTGTTCGTAAAAATTAACTGCGAAAGTTAAATGTGAAACATTAACATATCTGCATTCTATATGCTATATGGTGTATGCAGCATACCATACCATAATTGTACGTGTGAGTATAAATATGCAAGTATCTTTGTAGTATGTCGTGACTTAGAGCTACTGAAATGGGAAGTTTTCATAAGCAAATAAAATGGGTCATGATATCATAATAGATACTAATGTCTAATTGTACAGTATAGACACTAGATAGGTATATCACAAAGTGTTGAGAAGTGAAATGAGCACCWATTTGTTTAAGATTAAATATGTTTTAAAAATGTAATTAGTCGACATTCATCAAATAAGATAATTTTTCATCGAGAATCAAGCGTTCGTTACATAAATACGATGATCTGAATATAAATCAACAATTTTATTTTAAACACAATACATGCAGCAACACTTCTATTTACGGAACCCCTTATTAGCCACTCTTAAAATTGGAAACTTCTAAATTTCCCGACACAATGTAAGTAAGTATAAGTGATAAAATATCCCTAAACAGTAAACAAACACATTTTAATTCCCCTATATAAGTGTCCACTATTGTGAAGTTTCACTATATTATGTAGAAGTCCATAACAAATTGTCGAGTAACGTAATAATATACCATTATAAGCATTTCTAACTGAGTAACYTTAAATATATATATATTATTTGGCGCAATACAATGATAATGTTTTGTCTTTGGTATCCATTGGTTTCATTTGTAACATAATCATTAACTACCTAATGTATGTTACTATATTTGTCTGTCAAGTGGTGAGGGTGGTTTCTTTAATGGGAAAAATTACCCGGGTAGGGTTGTGTATATTATCACCCCCCACGTGTCATACACGCGATCCGTTTTCAGGTGTTTGTTTATACATTTCTTCATAAACGGGCAACGGTACATATTATGATAATAATATTATTATTATTACTATAGGTATTACGTATACATAATATAAGTTATTTTTTAGGCCCCTTTACATAGTGCAATAGAACAATTTTACTTCGCCGTGACATGTTAAACGGTCATAAAACTTCTGACTAGTTGTTTTCACTGCAGAGGACAGAAAAAAACGTCAGCCCCCTTGATAATATATTTTTTTATCTAAATTGTTTCATCGGGTAGGAAAACTAAAAGCTATTTATGGACTAAAGTGTAACGCGTATTCCACCTATATTATGTAGCCACATCACGGAAACCATCCTATAATAGAGTTGATTTTCATAATATATAATAAGTTTTTTTTATGCCAAGTTAGTATACTTTAACTTAAATACTTTTTATATTTTTATGTTTTGCCTCTTCTCCGGTCATGAACTATAACAGTCCAGACTCCTACAACCTGCCGCTAGAATATACAAAGTTAGCTGCCGAATGTAGTCATGACACTGACGTCGGCGAGAAATCGATTTGGATATGCAAACCGGTTGGTCAAAGTCAAGGAAAAGGCATATCTTTGATTTCGGTATGTATTATAATAGTATGTGTTTAATATTAAACATATATTATAAATGGCTAGCTATGTCATTCGCGGATATGCTATCGGGATAAAAATTTTAAATGTCTTGAAAAAATTAGACTTCGTCAGTTTACCTAAAACCCCATCACTCTATCCTGGTAGTGAATTGATAATTGTAAAAATAAAAGGTTAGGTAAGACCTAACAGATGGTGCGTCAGTTGTTATTCTATTTTGCAGCTCAGTTTTCCTGGTAAAGAGTTTGTAGATATTATAATATATCCTTCTTTGAAAAATTATCTACAATATTATTGATAACTGCTCGTAAATAGAGTCTGTAGTTTTGGAGATTATTTTATACAAACATAGTCACATATTGGACATTATTTTATAACACATACCATATACCAGGGATGGTCAACTCAAAGTAACTAGCGGGCCACTTTTAAGTACTTTAAAATCTAACGGGCCGCAGTGCATAGGAAAAAGCAAAAAATAAAAAGGTCCTTCAAATTTACTAACATTTATTTATATTTACAATTATTATTTAATGTGATACTTGAGGATGAGGTTTTATATGTTTATATGAAGTAATTTGAAAATGTAGCGCGGGCCAGATAAAAAAGATACSCGGGCCGCCAGTTGCCCATCCCTGCCATATACGATACTGTATAATAATAATAATAATAAAAAAAAACTCGTTCCGTATACATACAGTATAATAATTAATAATATGAAAATTAGACAGCAGTACCAAACTAATAATATCTTAGTCAACCAATGATTACAGTTCATTTCGTTGCACTCATATTATAGATTATAATATAATATTATTATGTTCAAAGCAAATCGGCGAACTCGTTTATGACACAAACATCGTGGTGCAGAGGTACGTGAAGAATCCTATGCTCATCGGTGGATACAAGTACGATCTGCGGCTGTACGTGCTGGTACCGTCATTCCATCCACTCACCATATACGTCTACAGGGAGGGACTGACTCGGTTCAGTACCGACAAGTATTCACTGAATAATCTCGACAACCACTTTGCGCACCTGACCAACAGTTCAATCAACAAGCTGGGCCCGAACTATTCGGAAACCAAAGAAAAAATCGGACTAGGTATCTTGTTGTTATACAATAACTGGGGKTTTTTTTTTTAAATAGCGTGAAAGTTGAGGCATATATATTATATTTTTTTTTGTTATCATTTAGACTATATATATAATATTGTATACACCATAGGTATCTGAAGTATTGCACTGAACTATTAACCTATATTTAAAGCAGGACAACCAATTTTAATTAAAAAAAGTCATTTTTTGTTTATTTCATATCATCTATCATCATAATAATATAGCGCACGTTTTTTTTTTGTTTGCATTACAGGATGCAAGTGGACATTCCAACAGCTTCGGCAGCACATACGACAGGCCGGAGTCAACGATTGGCTATTATGGCAAAAGATATCAGTTCTCGTCAGCCTTACGTTGGCCAGCCAATGCGCAGGCATACCAAGCACGTCAAATTGTTTCGAGTTATACGGTTTTGACATACTAGTTGATTCTGATCTAAAGCCCTGGCTTCTTGAGGTAAGTCAACAATGTCGTATTAATAAATTTAATATCAAAAATGGGTTATGGGACTTTTCAAACTTGGAAGTTCGAACACAGCGAATTTTAAAACACTCGGTTATAAAAAAAAACAGTTTCAAATTCGAGAAAAATGTAAGTTTGATTTGAAACAGTTCGAGCACAATCAAGTTAGAAATGTTCTAGATCCACAGTAGATTAATTAAAAGTTTTTTTTTTTTGTCAAAGGTAAACACTATTTTACTACTAGGTACTTTTTTAAAACGGATATGATCAAATATTTAAAAGTTCAAATACAAAAAAAGAATGAGAAAAAAAAATTAAGATTCAGTTTGTAAAAATTTAAGTTCCTTCCATCTCTTATTAACCTCATTTCATATTAACATCGCGCCAACCATAAAACATTCGATGATACACATAATATATATATATATATATACATCACGTATTTATAATTTTGTAAGATTAAGACACTAAGACAGGTTATCCTTTGAATATACTATTACAGTATATTTTTTGTTATAAACTGTAAAAAAAAAATGTTATCTTCATAACATTGTTAAGATGGCTATGTCAGGAAAATGTATATACGTCATATTGAATGAAACTAAATAAAGCAGTATTTTTATAGTTGATTTTGTGTCCATTCAATTATTTTTATAACACAATTAAGTAGGTATTATATTATTAATTTAGTAACCCATGTGGCCAAGTCTTTACTGAAATTACATTCGGAATTAAAATAATTTCAACTCTAAATGTTGCTCAGTGAAATAAAATCGATAAAAAAAATAAAAGTACAAACATATAAGCCCTGGTCTGTACAGCGAACATTATTACTGCCACAATTACATTTAATAAGTATTTTATTATTCGTAATTTTCCCAATTATCTTTTTGCTATTTCACACAACCTCATTGACGCTAGACACAAGGAAATTAAGCACTCGTAACATTGGTTCCRTCGATTTTAATTGAAATAATAATGGGTATACATTGTGTTGTCTTTAAAAACTGTAGTTTGTTTGTTCTAATTAGRCTAAAACTTTAAAATCTCCAAACGACAATATGTAGTGCAATTCTATAGATCCCGAGTCCCGGAGATTTCGAAATAAATAATAATCGACTTATAAATAAYACACTGCAATCGTAAACGAATGTTTGGTGGACGATGATCGTTGATTGCTGTAAATTGCAGGTGCCTGTGTGTAATTGGTGGGCTTAAAAAAAAACCGAACAAAACATAATCATCGGAGTTGGTATTTTAGACATTATATTTATATAGTTTCAAATTTATTTAGTGTCGGCTGAGACAAATTAGATTAGATTAAATTAAATTTGGTATAGGCTAAAACTGACTAAGAAGATGAGTTGTTTAAAACATACAATACCGAATTGCACTGTTATGACAGTGATGACACTGTCGCTGATTGGTTTAACAAGAAAAAAACGATTATTGCAGGTGAATCTCAGTCCAGCGCTGGGCAACGATTGCGATGTGGACAATAGGGTGAAAAGGCCGCTGTTGCACGACATGTTCGACCTGCTCGGACTGCCGATGTGCAACACCGGCCTGTCGCTGTTCCGAATGGCATGTCGGTCGACGTCGGGTCCGCGGTTCGGTGACGGACGACCGACCGCGTTGGCCGCTGCGGTCACTGAAAAGTGGAAGTCGAAACGCAAGACGAACAACAACAACAACAACACCGCTGCCAACAACAACAACAACGTACATACCGTAAACGCTACGAAGAGGGACGGTACAGCTCAGGTGACGTCGACCGCGCAGTCACAGCTGTCGACGCGTCAATCGACGCTGTACGGTCCGGGCAAGCAGCGCGGAGCGACCACGGCGCAAGTGGCAGCCGCCGCGGACCTGTGCAACTCGCCGTTCTCGTCACCGGTGTGGGGCAACGGTCGGGACTGGAGCAGACCCGCCGACTCRGAGGGTGATTGGGTCCGGGTGTATCCATTCGTGCCGTCGCCTCGGCAATTACCGCGGACCAGCGTACGGCAATCGTCGTCGCAGCAGCAGCAACAGTTCGCCCGCAGGTCTGCGTCATCGTCGCCGTCCGAGACGGGCACGGCCCGCGCCACCATCAAGACGATTCAGCAGTACCTGAAGTGTTGCAAAAAGGTGGCYAAGTCGTGCGAGGGCCTGTCCGTCGTGCCGGACGACGAGCTCAACGACAAGCTCAGAGACTTGTTCCCGGCCGCGACGATGACGTGGTTACCACCCCACTGAAAGACTTAATATCATTATATTATTTTGATTGTAATTCGTTGGCCACTTGCCCACCTTACCTACTTAAAACGTATATTTAATATGTATTATATTTTATCGATTGTTATGGCGTATATTATTCTTTAATATCGTTTAATGATATGTTATCTTATTGTTAATATACCAGTCTTTATTTTTTATAATATTTATCTCGATGAATACGGCTGTTTCGAATTATTATCAACTATTATATTATATAGCTAGGTAGGTAAAAATAATTGTAATTTATTGTTTTTTTTTCTCTTCTCGCCCTCTCCAAATTATTATATTATATTTAAAACGTAATCTTATATGATGCATAATAAAATTGTTCTGTGAACAGTAACGTTGTTATATTATTTTCCATTATGGCTAAAAATATAACATCATACCTATATTGGTATCTTGCTAATGATATATTTCTCTTCCCATCATAATGTACTAATGTACCTGAAATAATAAATCGTTTAATAAATGTTTTATATTATAATCATAGGCCCAAATATGGGGGGGGGCTATTATAGTTATATAGCCCTCCCCCCAGAAAAAAAAAAATTCTTACGATTTTATAACATAATACATTGGAAAGAAATATAATTTTTCGTGTATCACGAATGATTTGATTGGTTCATCGAAAACCACGTGATCATGTTAACGAGGGGTAAATGTCTGATAAGAATTAAGTGAGATATCAGCCCCCCAAATTTCAAGCACTATTTGCGCCTATGATAATACTTGTTACGTAACATTTGTCATTTCACCATGACAAATACCATTTTATTCGATTAGTATATTGTGTTACATTTACATTTGTTTCAATGTTAGGGCATGATAAATATAATTTAATTATAATTTGATGATGACTATAATATTATCGTTGATCCGATTATCTATACAATATACGAGTCTAAAATATAATATTACTATATTAGCATATTATAATTATGTTCTTTGTTTTATATATATATATATATATATATATGTATGCGTATACCATAATTTTTGAGAACCGCTTGCTCAATAATAAATAATATTAATTATTGTTGTTTAATTGCTATATAGTAAAGATTAATTCTTTAAACCATTCTGCCAGCTAACAACAAAGTTATCGTTTCTGCAGTCTCCTATATTCGTGAATTAATTCATATATTAGGTACACCCTATTCCTTCCCTTTGTATAGTAAATCGTATCAATAATGTGGTATAGCTATTATACATACTATATCGATAACAGCAGCTAGAATGCCAACACCCAAATTAAAAATTACATGAGCTACATTATACATTGTTACAATATGAGCAAAGCAGATAATGCTTTAAATAACAACCTATTGAAGAATTTACGATAAGTATATGTATTTAACCACTATAACCTTCATAAATATATTAAAATAATCGAAAATAAAATTCTATATAGTTCATTTTCTACTACCAAACATGATAACGTACCAAATTTAATCAATCAAAGTGTATTATATTGTATGCAACAATTTATTTTTTTCAATACCCTTGTTCAAAGTAAAACAACAACACGAAAACTTCAAAAAAATATTCATAAATAATAAAATAATATGCCAAGGGGCATAAGTCGCCTGGGATATAAAATTATATATTTCACGATAAAATAATATGGATATATAGTATAAGATAGCGCATAAACTCTTTTCATTATCAGACTAAATATACACTACAATGTATAAAATATTGAAATGTAACATTTATTTCAATGTAAGTCAATATTGTTTATTAAAAAAACAACAATAATTAATATACACATTGAAATGGAGTATAAACAAAAACATGAATTAAATGAGCGAGGTATTATCCGTCTACAATAAAATACGTAGACTACATCTATTAAATATTAGAAATACAAAATTACAATATTATTTTGTATCACTACAAAAAAATACATTTATGAATACACAAAAATAACAAACTTTCACTTTAAACAGTAATTAAAATAAAAAAAAGTAAGAAGTTCAAAACTAATGTATCACTTTCGTTTTGCGTGAGTTAAATTCCGGTAAAAATAATTTGGCACAGTAGTAAAATAAGCCTACTCGAAGTTATAAATAATAGTAAGCTCGGTCCCGATTATGATTACATACTACATTTAGTTTAGATTATGTATTAAACGTCAAAGACTTATTACATGGTTAGTCATACAAAGTTGACWATAATATGAAATGATTTTTCCCGACATAAAAAATGTTTTTTCAAAATAGATAACTATTATAGATATAATAATAATATATTATATTATAAGCATTATTATATGTTAGAGTAATAATATTATAATATTATGTCATGCCAATATTGTCGCGGAACCGTATCTTTTATTTATTATATTTTTGTTATTACCTATAATGTATACGATACCTACGATGTATAATAAGAATATATACTAAAGAGATGATATTTAAATAATTAAACTATAATATAAATGCAGTAGTAAGTATAAATCATTAATTTCATTGAGTGATTGTTAGAGTGAAATTACATCAGACCTATCCTATAATATTTATAGAACTTATCCTAGACTACCACTAAAAACCTTCTTATAGATATTAGTAGGTTGTAGATATATATATATMGTACACATAATAATTGAATGTGTAAAAATAATACAAAGTTATCATTTTATCAACCTAAGTATTATCAAAAACGTGTAAAATCATAACGAATATATAGTAAAGAATGTACTAAACAATTGTTACTGAATCACAGCTTATCACGTTAAAAAACGACAATTTAATGGGTTAAGGGATAAATGTAATACAGTTAAATCATAAATGATGTAGACATTAAGTAACAATTCATATTGAATAAAACGTACTGGGCTAAATGTTTCTCTCGATATAGCTTGTTAATGGACGTCCCTAATATAATAGAACAGTGGAGTATAGTTTTTTTTTCTTCTAGGCGATTCTATGAAAAACATAATAAATGAGTAAAAAAAACGTAAAATTAATTTAGCAATAAAAATATACAATAAATAATTCGTTGTAAAAAATAAACGGTACGTTTCCTAGCGGACATCACACGGTTTTAAACAATATCGCACCAAACTTATAATAATACGACTATATGCGGAGATGCATAAAACATTAAATTATAATATATTKGACGCTAAATAATGTTTGGGGTACAATTAGYTGGCTATTGACTCATTAAATGTTCAATGATTGTATATAATATGCGACATTCAGTGCGATATGCTCGCGGGCCGTCTGTGTTCAAGCACCTTCCTGAGCTGTTTGCGGGTGTTGCAGGCCACGGTCAGCGAACAAGATGCGGTCGGGTGACCGGCGACTGTCGCGGCGGCGGCGCCTGTGGAACTGTTGCAGTTACCGTCCGGTGAAAAAGTTGGCTCGTGCACCTGCTGTTGCGGCGGGAGGCTAGGTGCCGGTACAGGAAACGTGGGTTCAAACACTTCCAGCTGCGGACTCACCATGAGCGAAGCGACCGAACTGTCGAGACAATGATCCCTGTCGTCGGCCAGGCTGAGTATGAGCTCCTCGACGCTGAATTCTTCAGCCACTTGCAGCGGTTCGTCGACGGCGACCTCGTGGTGCGGTTCACACACCGCGAAATCCGTGTCCGGTTTGGACACCAGGATGTCGTCGAACGGTATGAGTTCGACGGCCGCCGCCCCAGCCGATTCGGCTTCCGACTGCTCGACGGCCGTCACGGTGTGTCGGACGGGCTCGTCGACGAACTGCAGTTCTTGCACCGTCTCCGTGGCTATGGACATGGCTGGCGGCTGGCTCAAGTCGTCCTCCGTCACCGTCTCGTAGCTGGCGCCGTTGATCACTGGCATCATCAACAAACTGGACATCAACTCGCCGTTGTCCATCACGCACAAGCTGATCGTGCCGTTGGCGTCCTGACCGACCTTCTGCACGTCGACGTTGCACTCGACTGACAGCTTGACCGGCATATCGTCGTCCGGCTCGGTCAAGATCATCTTATGCACAGTAGCCGTGCTCGAATCCGGACCCACCCCCGTGAAAGTCCGTGTTGCGATACCTGAAAGGTATGCATCCACCTCCACCTCGGCCGTTTCGCATCGCTTTAGAGCTTCGATGTTAGCCTTCGACAGAGGTATGACTAGYTGGCCTGCAATTGTATCGATAATATTAGATCTTGCAGGCTACAGGTCAACATCTAGTGTGTACTATTCTAAAAAGTGGCACAACTGAGGTTGTGAGACCCAAAATTCGAGATTATTTTCTCACGAATCCTATGCGTAATACGCATGGTTGAAAAATGTGTATGAAAATTACAGACATTATTGTTCATTTTAAGTTGTAACAAGTACAAATAGATAGGTTTATGTACAACTGTATTACCTAGRTTTACTCATAAATCCCAAAAATCTGTTGAGAAAAAAATTTTAATCTCATACCCGGCCCCCATGAGAATCAAACCTGGTTGCTCCGCTGATTCTAAACAGTCGAAAAGTATACGTACTTTGGTATTTTAAGAATTCTGAAGTCGTACTGTTGGWTTCACTGTCGAAATGCTGTAGCAAGTCATCGGCAAAATCTGACAGAGTCTCCGACTCGTCCCAAACATCATGACTCCGCTGGTGCGTCTTGAGACTAGCCTTTCCCGGGAACGATTTGTTACAATTCGGTCGGTCACACGTGTACAATTTGTCAGCCGAATGCGTCCGCTTGTGCGTTTTCAAATGATGGCTGGCCGTAAACGCTCGACCACAACCTTCTTCTGCGCATCTGCAAATCACGACAATAAACGGATGAAGTGTAATATGAGACACGTGTGTTCATTAATTCAATATCGTTGTAAATGGTATTCTATAAGTATGTCATAATATTATGTAAACTATACAATAGGTATACAGTRAAAATTCTTTTTGAATGATCCGTCCGTTGACACTTTGACAGAACTATAATATTGTAACTTGTAGGCTGTAGCTCCCTAACTATGTATACTTATTAATTATCGTTATATTATGACATACCTAAAATTTTAATATGAAGGTATATTATAACAGCTATTGTTTATTACTTGTACGGTCGTTCTTGCGTGTGAGTTCTATAATGCTTTTTTAGATCGCTAAAAGTCGTAAAACATTTGCCGCAGCCTGCTTGTATACAATCGAAAGTGTCACCAGTGTGCAAGCGTTGATGAGCTCGTAGCCTGTACTAAAAACAACCGTAGGTCCATCATATTTCTAAAAGATTACTGAAATRACTTGAGTGAGATAATCGAAATCTTTACCTGTAAACGGTGTTAAAGGCTTTTTGACATTCCTCCTTAGTGCAAACAAATGGTTTTTGTTTCGTATGCACGCGTTCATGAATTTTCAAGCTGTATGACGTCAAAAACGGTTTACCGCAGTCAATTATGTTACACTTGAACCGGTATTCACCTAACAATGAATATTCAAACAGTTCATTGAAATTTATTAATGTATGCATTGTATTAGTAACTGTAATAAATTTAAATAAGTCGGCAAAAAAAAATTCAAGTTATCAAAAAATCGAGATACAGAAAAATTGTATATGTGCATTGTACATCTTAAAATGTAGAGGTGCCTGATTTTTCTTTGAATTATCGAAAATTATTCGACTTATAGATGTTTAAGTTATCGAGTTTGCACTGTATTGTGAATAATTACATAGACATTAGTTAATTATTTGAAATCTGGAAATATCAGCACTATAATCCAACTTAACATATAATATTATAATTTATCATTTATTGAATTAATTTAATAAAAATAATTATTTATTTCATAACGAATAATTTTATAAAAAAATATTTTTAAATTCCTATAAAGTATAGAGTAAAGTATTGGCTGCTGAACTTTAAATAATTGTCTTCATTAAACATTTATTATGTACCATTTGCAGTACTATTATTACATAGTATGTCTATTGTCTACTGTACATACTGCAGCATAATAAATATTAAAACACGTATTAGTAAATAGTAGATACTAATAATAATATATTTTCTATTAAACGCACATAATAGTTTTGTTTAGCACTTATCTTCTAACATTTACACACCTTTATGTGTCTTCATATGAGTACGGAGATTTCCTACTGTGCTGTACGTTCTTTTGCATCCAGTGAATTCGCAGTAATGTCTTTTAGTATCCGACTGGTCCAACGGAGTGTCATTGCTGAATGAACTTTGAGATAAATCATCCTGAAACCCTTCTTGTAATGTAATATCATTTTGTGGTTTGACGTCATATTGCACATAACTATTTGTTTGATAGTTGTAATGGATAAAACTGTAAAATAAAAATATTTCTTATAACTTATGTGTAATAGAAATATTATGGAAGTTAGAACTAACTAGTTACAGGCTAGTTAACAACACGCATAATATTATAGTATACATATATATTTATTATTTATTATGTATACATAGTATAATGTATATATATATATATATATATATTCGTATAATAGAATAATTAATTTTAGTATAAGGCGTCTAAGAGTCATAGACAATATACTATAGGTACCTATTCGTATTTACCTAACACATTATAGTGGTATACTCATATCTCATAGTAAACATTATTTAGTAAATCGTCTGAGGTACCTCAGTATCTCCTACGCCTTAGATTAATCTAGCACTATTATTTGAATGAAAGCCATGAAATTATCTATTCAGTGTACTTAACAACACACAACTACAAGTGAACTATGTACTTAAGTTATATATATATATATATGTATCATTGTACGTACTAGAAAATACAAAATGCACTCTTTAATGATGTGATGTTTTAAAACATGACATTAAAATATTTATAGCATAATAAATATGCAGAAAGATGTTATATTTAATTAACATTGCGTACATTGACGAATTTTGAACTATTTCCAAAATTATATTTTTACAATAATAGTTATAGGTTTAATAGAAAATAAATATATGTATATATATATATATATTCAAAAAAAATCTTTAGAGAATCAATTTCAAATGGTACTAAGATAACTATATAAAATAAAATTTATATTTGTAGTTAAAATGAGGCTTGTAAGTTGTAGGTATATAGTATATAGTATAAAGTATATYATATGATGTTTTCCTTAATATTTTGGATAGATATCTTAACTAATTTTCTTATTAGTTTCAACAAATAATTTAATATCAATAATGAATGTACTTAATTATTTCATAAATAAATTGTTTTGAGCTTTAATTCA